AACCAAGCCACTATATGTTTTTTTCTACTACTATTTATGGCATTAATTTGAGATCATTACATTATTTCCGGTTAGGCTACTACCTAGAGAACATGAACTCTGAATTTGATTTAATCTAACATTTCTAAGTTTTGCCTTGCACCCTTGCCTGCTTACAGTTTCTAACTAAAAAAAGCATCTGAATTTTAGCTATTGTAGAAACGGAAAAAAAGCCAAAATAGCACTCAGGTGCAGCCACTGACAGCTAAGGTTGAGGCTTGTGATGTTTAGAGGTGAAAAAAATGATTTCTTGAATACATAGACTTTTTGATATGAAGATAATGGAGGTCACTAATCATATCCAAGCACATCTAACTTAAAAATCAGTCACTGCAAGAGGTCATATTTTGACAATTTTGTTAATGAAGTTCTAAATATGTACTATTACTTTTTTAAATCTGAAATTGCAATGAAGATTTCAAATGATTTGTCAATCAACTAAGGGCATCATGCATCCAGGTGCTGGCAATCTATTAAATAGACAGTATTTGATGTTGTTCAGCTTTTGAGAGCATTGCCACACATGGACATCTGGACCTTAGAATGCATTGATATCAGGATATGCAAACAGCTGCGTAATGTGCTCGACATTTGCCTTGGCACTGTAGTGATACACAGTTTTGTAAATTAGAGCCCAGAAGTAGGTTATCAGAGCATTAGTATGTTATATTACTTATTAAATTAACTTGTATCCACACTAACAAATCTGTTATAACTTATAATTTGCATCACACTTTATTAAATCAACTGAAGTCTTATGTAAAGTGAAAAGCTAAATCTTCTAGATGGAGGAGTTCCTGAATGGTTATCAGATTAGGATATAGTATAATAATATGTCTTCATATGCTTATAGCTTTGTGACAATATGACATTTGTGCATGCCTAAAATTATCTGAATGTGCTAATTTAGCCTGCAGAAGTCATGTTAAGAATTACAGCTTGAGCTAAGGCATTCCATCACATTTATCTTGGTACGATTAGACATTGTGTTTTCCTTGGTCTCAGTTCATGGTTTCAAAGTTGTAGGTATTATCATTGGCCACTCATAAGCCAAAGAGACATATAAAAGCTGGATACACTCAGATTTGTCGGAGGAAAAACAACATGCAGGAAGAGGTCAAATGCATCTCTGCTCTGGCGATAGGTAGGCATTCCTAAGTAAGTGTTCACAGATACTGATTACGTACAAGAAAGATGATATGGATTGAATGTGTAGTTAGCAATGTACCTTCCCGTCTAATCAATAGCAAACACTTAATTGAGTTCTTAACAGCATTCTCATGTTTATCAGCATAAATCAAAGGCTTGTCTTTGGCTGCTACAACAGTCATATCTGTAAGTACATATGCTATTTTGTCTAATATTTCATTGAAGATTGTCATTAAAGAATGCCATAACAACTTACCTTTATTTATTTTCTACTAAATAATTGATGTAGTTCTTATTACTTATTGTCGACACTGCTTTTGTACCCTTATGATCTTATCCGCTATATAAGCTACATTTATTTCTCCTCCATGCTATCCATCTGTAATCATGTTATTATGCTTTCTAAATTTGTCATTGTAGGGTGACATTGCTGAACTACAGAATGAGAGCACAGCAGCCAAACAAAACGAGAGAAAATATCAAACACCTTAGAGCTCCTTATTGAGCTTCAATACTCTATTGTTTAACTATAGCGCAATAAAATAACATCGGTGATCAAGATGGCGCGGCTTTGGTTTTCTAGTTTATTTGAAAATGGGCATTTTTTTCCTAGTACTCTGGTTTTCCGCTTGATAGTAGGTACATCGCAGGCAGACAAGATCGTTTCCATTGCACAGCATTTTTTTATTATAAATTTGAAACAAAAATAATAGAAAAGAAGAAACGAGTATATAGAAATCCTACAAACTTGTTGTTTTGTTGGAACATCCCTGCTGGCAGTTTTGGGCCCTGAAAGTTTTTTTTTTTTTTTTTAAAAAGTACTTTGCCGAGTGCCCCTGCCCAGGCACTCGGCAAAGTATTTTTTTAAAAAAATTCAGAAATTCTTTGCCGAGTGCCTAAATAGGGGCACTCGGCAAAGAAATTATTTTAAAAAAATAAAAAAAACTTTGCCGAGTGCCTGGGCAGGGGTACTTTTTAAAAAAAATAAAAAAAACTTTGCCGAGTGCCTGGGCTGGGGCACTCGGCAAAGTAATTTTTTTTAAAAAAAATTTGCCGAAATCTTTGGGTCGGGCACTCGGCAAAATAACTTTAATTAACGGCAGCGCCAGTGAACGGCCGAAAATATTTTGCCGAGTGCCGCCCCAAGCACTCGGCAAATTTTTTTTATTTTGCCGAGTGTCCCGATAAAAAGCACTCGCCAAAGCCTTTGCCGAGTGCAAATGGCTCTTTGCCGAGTGTAAAAACACTCGGCAAAGCTGCAGCCTCCAGTAGTGAACCAAACTAAGAAGCTTAGAACCATATAATATTGTCAGCAGGCTGCACTTTCTTTTTTTTCTTGGAGGTGCGAGGATACACTTCTAGTTGGTTGGCCTCGTGATCTGACAACAAGATGTATATTGTTTGACAATTGAAATGTTTAATTGGTCCAAAAATAATAATCAATGTTCATTTCACCCGGCCAGTGGTTATTAGAAGCTTAGAGCAAACCTTATTAGCTGCCTCTTCAAGAGGATTCCCTCAGCAGTTGCTACCGGCACTTGCTTGTCTCTCATTATATATTGCTGCATACGATTGTCTACTGATTCATTGAAAGAACAATGATGAAGTAAAATATTGGAAGAATAACAATGAAGTACTAGTAAAATAGAGAAATGCTAGCCCCCACGTACTTCACGTCCAATTGAAAATTGGTTGTCCGATTGTACGTAGCTGGCAAGGAATTGAGTTTATCGGTTGCATCATGAAACGATCTGGTGTGAAATCTGTTGCATCTTCCTTTTTCTCTTTAATGTGTTGTTGAATTCTCAAACAAATTAAATATTGGGACAAATATATAGACACAATATCTAATACAGGAAAGAATTTTTTTCTAACAGCTAAAAACGATCTTCAGGGTCGGTTCATAAAACCATCACAAGAATTGCAAAGTTTAGTTCAATAATTTTTAGGCCTTGTTTGGATGTATGTGTATTCACTCCAATCCACATGTGTTGTAGTGGAATGGAATGAAATTAACTTAGTTTAATTTCACTCCAATCCACTTCAATACATGTGGATTGAGATGAATACATGTGTATCTAAACAAGGCCTAAGAGAGAAGCGACCTGCCCCTGCAATCTAGTAACGATTCCAAGGCTTTGAGCAGTTTAAAACTTCACGTTTTAATTTGCAGTTGGTACCGGCACTCGATCATCTCTATATATAGTATAACATACTGATCGAAAGAACAATGTTGAACATATGAGTAAAGAACTGTGAAGTAGTACTAATTAAGCGTACTAGTGAAATAATACAGTATATATATGCTCATTCGTTTCGCTTGTCCGATTGAAAACGGGATATGGAATATATACAATGGATGACAGCAATGGAATGTTCTTGCGTGAATGAAATGTGTTGCATCCTCTTCTTCTTCTTTTTTATGCCGCGGAATTAATTATTCTCATGGAATATATACAATGGATGACAGCAATGGGTCAACGAAGATACTCACCAAATAAGGGATCATGTTTCAAGATAAAAGACAGAATAAAATGATGAACTGTACGTGCGTAACCTTCATCAAACAAACGAGTAATTAAGTGGCTCGCTACAACTACAAACATCGGGGTTTCTTTTAGCATAACTACAAACATCGGTTGAGTATGGTTACTTGTAACTACATGCATACCAGCTTTCTAATTAGGGCCTGTTTGATCCACCCAACTAAAGTTTAGCTAGCTAAAATTTCAAAGCTAAGCTACCTAAAATTTTAAAGCTAAACTTTAGCCAGCTAAAAGTTCTGTCAGCTAAACTTTAGTTGAGGTGTTTAGATCATTCAGCTAATAGACTCGGCTAAACTTTAGCTGGGTTTAGCAGAGTTGATGTAGCTAAACTCAGCTAAACTTTAGCTGGGCCGTTTGGATCCACAACAGCTAAATTTAGCCAACTAAACTTTAGGGTCTGTTTGGATCCACTAACTAAAATTTAGCCGGCTAAATTTAGCTGCTAGGGATCAAAATGGCGTAGCAAAAAACAAGCTAAAGTTTAGCTACTTCAAACTCAGCTAAACCCAGCTAAAGTTTAGCCTATTAGCTGAACGATCTAAACACCCGAGCTAAGTTTAGCTGAGGGAACTTTTAGCTGGCTAAATTTTAACTTTGAAATTTTATCAAACTACTTTATTTGGGTAGATCAAAACAGGCCCTTAGTTGGCGGATTATCCAAACAGACCTGCATGCAGGTCGATCATTAAACAATGCTCAAGTCAATCTCTGGTCGTTGTAGCCATGTGCATGCGATCGTCGTTGGAATAGTGTTTGTCCGTTTCAACCATGCATGCATTTCTGTTGGAATAGCCCTTGTTTAGTTCCACCCTAATTTCTAAAAAGTTGTTATAGTACTTGTCACATCGAATGTTTGTGGCTCATGCATGAAGCATTAAATGTAGACGAAAAGAAAAACTAATTGCACAGTTTGGTGGAAAATTACGAGACGAACGTTTTAAGCCTAATTAGTCCATGTTTAAACATTATTTGCCAAATAAAAACGAAGGTGCTACAGTAGCCCCAAAATTCAAATTTCGCGAACTAAACGAGAGCTAATCTAATAATATCAGATTCTTTGCATGCCTGTACGACCATTGCTGCAGACCCTAACCCTAGCTAGTGTACGTCTACTCGAGCTCGACCCTAACCCTAGCTAGCTATATAAGCACCACCATTGCTGCAGACATTCCTCACCTCCAACCTCCAAACCTGCCTACTGTCTCTACTCTCTAGTAGCAGCTGCAGCAGGGATCGATCGCCAGGCGCCATTTCCGAGCTAGCAAGATGGGGAAACGTTTCCTCCACCAGCTACTCGCCGTCGTCCTTGCACTCTTCGTCTCGCCGGCGAGATCGGGCGACTGGCTTCCGGCCACGGCCACGTTCTACGGCGGCGCTAATGGCTCCGACACAATGGGTAACAATCTAGCTACCTTTGTCTTTGCGTTGTTCAGGGTACGCATGCATGCATTGCAACACATATATGTGTGTAGACTTTGATCTCATCGATGAGCACGTACGTACGCATGCAGGTGGTGCGTGCGGGTACAGCGACCTGTACGAGCAGGGCTACGGCATCAACAATGCGGCGCTGAGCACGGCGCTCTTCAACGACGGCGCGTCGTGCGGACAGCAGTGAAGTCACCTATCATTGCCTCTGAATGATTCGCTCAGCATTTGCTACCGGCACTTGTACGTCTCTCGTTGCTAATATATATTCCAACTTAATATTCTAGCTTAATTTCTCTAATAATAACAAATATTCCACATCCATGAGAAAATGTTCTAACTGAAAATATTTCAGCTTAAATAAAAAATGTTCTAACTCAAAATACTGCATTATCGTTCTTTATTTCTCTTCCAAATAAACATGTTGATAATATGTTCAACTGTGGTCAGATAAATATAATCCAATTTCTGTCTAAGTGTGTGATGGCTAAAACTCCTACTGTTAGGTGACTCGGAATACGGAGAGGAGCTCAAACCTTAAACCGTGTTGCATGATTGTGATTAAACTAACCGGTGTAGAGTTCTCTTAAGCCGTCGCATGATTGCGAATTGCGGTTCCTAAACTAACCGAGCTGATTCAGTTGAGCTTGAAACTGATAGAGCTGATGAGCTGAGCACCACTACTCCATGGGTTATGAGTTATGACAGCAACACGTCTATTATTGAGCCGGTGGATGCAGATGCATGCGGAATAATCCAGGATATGAACAAAAGCAAGCACGCATGCATGTTTTTCTCAATAGTGGTACAATAATTTCAATCTCCTGGCAGAGTGTCATTATTCGCCATGTTTTTTCTCCTTACAAGGATTTGTATTAATCCAGAATACGGACAGAGTCACATTTTTTGTGCGTGAACGAAGTAAAGCATCACATGGTAATTTGGTCCCTAGCTTCACAAGATAATCCTCTAGATTTTTAACCTAGGAAAAACTCACTATAATTCGAAGTATATTTTACACACATTCCAGAAGAAGAATATCCAAGCCCCTCCAAAGAAAATGGTGCAGCACTGCAGCTTGCTGATAATGATATATGGTTCTTTATTAATTTAGCTTCTAGTTGGTTGACTTCATGATCTGACAATAGGATGTATTATTGTTTGACAATTGAAATGTCTAATTGGTACAGAAAAAATAACCAATGTTCATTCAATCAGTGGTCAGAGGCTTAGAGGAAAGCTTAGTTGCCTCTACAAGGATTCGCTCAGCAGTTGCTACCGGCACTTGTCTCTCATTGCTACATATATAATTATCTACCGATTCCTTGAAAGAACAATGATATACAAGGTAAAATATTGGAAGAATAACAATGAAGTAGTACGTGTGAAATACTATAGCTCCAACGTACATCAGGTCCAATTGAAAATTGGGTTGTCCGATTGCACGTATGTAGGCAAGAAATTGAGTTTATCCGTTGCAATCATGAACGATCTGGTGTGAAATCGACTTGGGGGAGCCAATTGAAGGACATATTATATTTTTGTGCTATTTATTAAATGTTTAGTTGTCCGAGAAGAATTGCAAAGTTCAGTTCATCACCGGTTGTCAGAGAGAACGTACCTACCTGCCTCTGCAACAGTAGAGATTCCAAGGCGTTGAGCAGTTTAAAATTACTTCGTCACGTTTTAATTAGCAGTTGGTACCGGCACTTATCTCCGTATATAGTTTATATAGTAAGATACTGATGGAAAGAACAATGTCGAACATATAATAAAGAACTTGGAAGTACTAATTAAGTACTAGTGAAATACTACTGAATATCCTGCTTCTCAATTCATTTGTTTCGCTTGTCTGATTGAAAACTGATGGTCGGAATGTATGTTGCCAAAACAATTGAGTGGTTGCATTTTATATGACAACACCTGCTGTCTTTGTGACCAAGACAGTGAAACAACGGATCACCTTCTCTACTCGCTCACTCGGCAAAGGCTACTTTCCCCTCGGCAAAGCCTTTGCCGAGGACAGCACTCGGCAAAGCGCCTCCGGTAAAAAATCCGTCGGCAAAGAATTCTTTGCCGAGCGCTTTTTATCGGGCACTCAGCAGAGTCTTTGCCGAGTGCAATCTCGGCACTCGGCAAAGAAAAGTCCCCGTCACGGCACCGGTTCCGTTAGCACATGCTTTGCCGAGTGTCATGTCTGAGGCGCTCGGCAAAGATTTTTTAATTTTTTTTTTCAAAATTTCTTTGCCGAGTGCCCTACCGGGGAGGCACTCGGCAAAGATTTTTTTTAATAATTTCTTTGCCGAGCGCCCTGCCAGGTCGGCGCTCGGCAAATATTTTTTATTTTTTTCGTAATTTCTTTGCCGAGTGCCCTGGCCCTGGCACTCGGCAAAGAGGCTAATTTTTTTTTGATTCTATATTCACAAACACAACATATAAGAGATATATATAACATCTGTGACATCACAAACACAATATAGCGCATATATATCACATCCATCTCATCACACAGGCAATACCACATATATATCACATGTCGATCACACAATATCTCACATACACGACATCACAAGCATAATAGGTCCAATATCCATCGAAACAAGTCGATAGTTGATCACAGTGCATCACATGTCCATCAAGCGGTGAAAAAGAGATACAAACTACCGGTGGGGAGGAAACTGAGTGCTTGGTGAAGGAAAAGTGTTGTCGCCTGCTTGCGCCTGAGATGGGTTATTCGAACCCGCCGACGGAGGCTGCATAAAGGACAAGAGATTGCATATGTTAGAGTGGTCATCTAATGAAAGCACTAGTCGAAGCAATTTGGTTTCATACTCACAGGACTAGCTATAACCGGCGGCGACGGTGGAGCGAACTGCGGCACAGCTACACCGTGCATTTGCCCAAAGTTCTTCAGGAACGTCGTAATCTCCGCCAGCTGCTTGGCCTGCCTTTCCCGCTCGGCCCGCTTGGCCTATCTTTCCTGCTCGGCCTGCTCGGTCCTCGCCGCCAGGTCCCGCAGCTCCTAAGCCATCCTCTCGTTATCGGCCTGCAATATTTGAATCGAATGTTTCAGTAATGCAAAGGTAACTAAGTTATTTAAAGATCAATGTACGAAGAGTCAAATGGGACTAACCTGGAGTGCGTCGACCCGCTGTTGTGAAGGGGACGGCCGTTGGCGTATGGCCGGGCCTCCGCTCGGGGTCTGTGCTTGGCTCTGGGAGAGGGAGGGAATCTCGCTGGGCTCAAGGATGCCATCGCCTATCCAGTACCGCCCATGCTTCTTGCCTTGTCCGAGCCTCATGACCATCGTCCCATCTATGTCGTCGGTGCTCGGATCCTAGTCTGGCCCATGGACCGACCTTGCCTCCGACGCATACGAACTGATGCGGGTGTGAACGCTCGGGTTGCTGTAGGACTCGGGCGGGTCATCCGGGGTGAAGGTGACAGCGGACGTCGCCTTACCCTTGCGGGCTAGACCATATGCCATGAAATTGGAGATGGACTGCCCACCATGTGACACCGACTGCGAGAAAGACAACAAGATGATTAGAAGAAACATGCAGCATGGAGCGTAAGAATACTAAAAATTTACGTACACATGCTTGCTTGTACGCGCCGAGGCTGCGGCTGCCTTGATGGTGCGTGGGGCCTGTCGCTGCCATACGCCGCTCCTGCCCCGCCTCGTGGTCCTAGATATAACCCTCCATGAACCACCTGTCCACGATCATCTCCCAGCAGTCCCAATACGACTCGCACCACTATGGAATTGTCTACATGTCATAAAGAATTTGAGATGTAAGAAGACCAAATTAAAGCTACTTAATCTCAAAACGAATCAGTATTATTCTTCTTCATTTACCTTAAGGTACTGTTCCCGGGTCAGCGTCCTCTGTCTTGCCTATGTCTTGGTGATCTTCTCACCAAGGTGCTTGGCGTAGTACTTGACGATGCAAGTGAGGCGCTCCTCGTAGTTCATGTCGGTGATTTGTTTCCTGGCACTTTTCACCATCACCTTCTCCGCCCTGTCCTCCTGTCCCTCTTCACATCTGAAAAAAGTCTGCAAACAGACACAATGTATCAATTCATTATGTCAAAAAAAGTCAAATGAATGCGATGTATTGATCAAAGTTGTGCGAGCGAGACTTACCCAGAACTCTCTCCTCACCCGTTCCTGCTTATCTCCACATGCGTCGGGGGCATCTTTGTAGTGGTCCCACGATTTGGCCGGCTCAATGTTCCCCTTGTGCGTGACAATGCCGGGGTAAAAGTGCCTGCACACAAGACCCAGGATGTGGTTGGGGTTGCGTGAGTCACCAGGCGACACAACCAGTCAGTGCCTGCACAACGTCATTAACAAACATTATTAGTTTCTCTGACAATTTTCAACAGGTTATATGAAGTAGCTGTGATAAAATATAAAGTTACTTACCTGTCCCCCTGGGGGTGGATCACTGGGCGTAGGGGAAGAAGCGGAGGCCTAGGGAGTTTCAAGGGACCTCGCAAGTAGATCCTGGCCACAGCAGAGGAGTCCGAACCAGCTGTGCCTCCAGCCTCGCCGCCCTGCTGTGCCTCATCTCCCTCGTCGTCCATTTGTCGAACCAGGTCCTCCTCGTACGAGGAGTCCGGGGTATGGCGCTCCTCCTCCGGCACGTCACACGGCCTGACTAGAGGAGGCTGGCCCCTCCTACTGCCGCTGCCGCTACCGCTTCTCCTGGCCCTCTACCTCCTCCCGTCTAACGACCCCTCTTCTGCATCCGGATCTGCATCGCGTGCCCTCATGAACCTCGAGTTCACGTTCCTTGGCACACGACTGCCCGCCATCTTTGTTCAATCACCTGCAATTAAAAAGAAACAGACAAGACATATTAGTACATGTGTTAAAAATAGATGCTAAATAAAAAAACAAAACACGATTACAAAATAACATAGTATTACATGTATTAGAAGTAATCATCATTATTGGGATTA